TTTTAAGCAATATTATTTTAAGAAATTTGTCCACCATTTAGCATTTAGGAATTACGAAATAAGTCATCGATAAGTTTTTTGAATGGTAATTATAATTGTAGAATGCATGATCCTTATGGAGTTTTCATGATCCTTATGTAGAAAATGATCCTTATGGCGGTACACATTACCTATGTATGTACATTACCTATGTACGTATGTACATTACCTATGTATGTACATTACCTATGTATTGAGTGGGTTGTTGAGGGATTCGGATATTGACTAAGTGTAAGAGGGTGAATGAGAAGAAAAGGGGCGCGTTGGCCTGGTAATAAGTTTAATATAAAAAGTAGCCATTTGTAAAAAATAAGTAGTCTGTAAGTTGAACTCGAAGAGAGAGGAAGTGTGATTTTTGCTGTTCATGCCAAATAGTTTGATTGAAATAAAGCTCCATTTTAATTTCCAAAAATAAGTATTTTCAAGCTTTGTTATTTTAATTGCGAGTTAAAGTTAAGATTTCATCATCCTAAAGTCAAGTCAAGCGCTGAAAGCATTATCAAAGTCATTTTTAGGGCATAAGTAGCCAAAGTCTAGATTTCAAGTAAAGTTATATTACGGAAGAGGTACTAGTCCAGATAAGTAAGCTTGTCACGAGGATATCTGGTCAAGTTAAGTGTGCCTCCCGTGACAACAACTGTGCGTACATAATAGAAAAGTGCATTTATAGTTGTTATGTATGAGCAACACATGAAAGGAACAATGATGATGAAGAATCTTCACATCAGCAATTTTAAATTTTGCAATTGTGCCAGTCAATCGTGGAACAAGACAGGTTTTCTGCTTCTTTAGCCTCTGTAGTTTTATAAACCTATGGACAGACACACTTCTGTCCAAATCTTACCATAAAAACTTGAAAACCTAACTAACTAGATCACAGACCATACCATAAACTCGTTCTCTGTTAGGGTAGACACATGCCTGTTTGTTTACATTCCACTTTAATGCATTTCATATTCCAAACCCAAATGATGTAATAAATGCAGCATTAGTAGGAGGATGAAATGTAGTGTTTCCCTTTGGAGATGAAGAGACGTTGGTTGGTTCATTGCATTATTAACTGTCGGTTATTCTCAAGAGAAGTACAAGCAATGCATTCTTTGGCGGATAATGCTCTCTCAAAAATATTATAATATTCTTCTGACCCAGCAGTTAAACTACATCCGCTCATCAATGTGTTGTTCACTGTCCACTTCACAACTGTTATCTGCAGACCCAGAAAAGTGCATATTAAAAATAAACTCTAGTAAACAGATGTAAGATTGTAGCGGTAGAACTTCATATGAATGTAACGATATCTCGCTTAATACCGTATGCTGATATTAAATATTTGACTTTTGTCCATATTCCTGGGCCACCAAGAGGTCACAGGCCCAAAAGTACTCTTGAGCCACTGCCCAGGCCTTTTCAACGATACTCCTTAATTAATTAAAGGATTTCAATTGTCTTTACATATGTGATGATCTGACTGTGATACTAGATAGAAACTATATATCCGAGTAGGGGTACTTTAGATATCCGAAAACAAGCAGACCTTAAAAATTATGGTTGGTATAAAGCGGACAGACGTGAGGACGGACAGAACGTTCGTATATAGTAGAGAGAGGTACAATAGATAAATAAATGAAGTGAATTAATTAATCATAACTCGTTGTCTGTCGCTAACTATAACTTATTTATTTTTGAACAGGGCTTTGATAACTAACAACTTATTGTACTTTGAGAGAGAGTGGAAATAGACCAAACCATTGAGATGCTTTGTCTGGATTTGCTTCCAGCAAAACTATCTCCTTTGTCTAATTCATAGATGTACATGACTTTAGAGTAACTCACAAGTGAGTCGACATGAATTTAAAAGGAGCAAATCCACTTTTGATCGAATAATCAACATAGCAATTGAGCAATGCCGTCATGATACATAAGCTTGATGTAAACACTCTTTCGTTTCAAAATTTTAATATCTTAAGGTTTCCATATATTATATGAATTTTTTAGTCACACTGACCATTTACATGTAGATTAAACAAAAATATTTTAACAAAAAATCTCATAAATTCGTAAAAATCTCCTAATGTCATTCATAAGTATTTTTAGTAAATAACTATGTACGTACGCGAGTGTTTATCTACTCACTAGTTTAATTATAAAAATGCCTGAAGACCATTATATGGAGTTTGGATTGGTTAATCTTCATTTAATGTATAATTTCCATTATACTGGGAATTGTCTGAGATTAACAAAAGTAGGGAGAATGGAAATTAATCCCATGGATTACTATATCGGGGAACCCGTATTCAGCTACCATCAGTTCAACAACACTAGTCTGCAATTAAATCTTCTTATTATTCATTCGCACCACTATATGGAAAGATGTGACAAGGCCAAGGAGAAAGTGGGTATAGAGCTCATCATCTTTATCCGGGTAGAGTGGGAATCCCACTGCGGATAAAAGCACAAACGCCATTGTTCTGTTCACAACTTTCCCTTTTAAGTGCAGTATGAGTCAAACTACCAAAATCAGGGTTACAATAGAGAGAAAGTACGAAGGGGAGCTGTGCATATCCCAGACGAGAGAAAAGAAGAAAGACCGAGGAGATTTTGGAATTATTGATAATCCGTCCTCACTTTAGCAACTATCTGTCAAAAGGAATGCTGGACGTCGACACTGCAGGGTAGACTGAATGACACACTATGGGATCAATTGGTAAAATTCTTGGACGACCCAACCAATGTTAAATTTCCAGCCACATGTATAGCTCAAAAAAACGAAGAAAAAAAAATAAATTGTATTTTAAATATTGTAGCTTCCCCAACCTGCTTCCAAATCATAGGTCAACGTGTCACATTTTTACATTCTACAGAAAAAAATCAAATTTCTGTCCAAATTCAATCAATCCAAATAATACTTATATGTGAAATACCAACTTCTTTGCCGCTTAACCACATTTAATGTGACCAGCCTGGCTGAAAAACGATCATTTTAAGCGATCGTCTTGCAGTTTAGTCAGTCTATTTTGTGGGACCAAGTTATAGTATGAATATAGTTTTCCCGTGTGTCATAAGTACCATAAGCATATTCCTTATGCATATGTAGGCACCATACGGTAGTAATATATATATATATATATATAAGTAAAACTTAATAAGTGATAACCGATTCCTTCAAAAAGTGGGGCTGTCGATAAGGATAGACGCAGAACGTCAGAATGATTCAATGATGGGATTGCTCCTCATTATTTATTCTCGTCCATCCTGACAATTCAGGATGGAATGAAATCATTCCCCTTCGAATTCATAAAGGATGATTATTACGCCTCTATGGCTTTCGCTAAGTAAGACTGTCAGACTCAAGCTAACGAGATAAGTCATCCGCAATGAAAATTAGAATAAATTGGATTATATGGATGGCAGACAGGCAGTCAGAAATATATTTTGTGCATTTTGCAAATGTAAGGAAAGGTCTAATGTGTATATTAATCAATATGGAGTCGAATAGTGAATATTCGGCATTTCTCACACGGGATAAAAAATTTATGCATATTTTTTGATGGTATCGCTTCTAAATTAAGTCGTTGTAATTATTGTTCATTGTCTGTCAAGTCACAAGTAGTGTCAAGTCCAAAGTCAAGTCACAAAACTGGTTGGCGTCATTCACTTCTAAAACCATTAATCATCACCAACCAAACCACTTACGACTTACATTTGTTTGTATAAAACTCAACTTCCTACACTATCTACATCAAATTTTAGTTTGCATAAAATACGTCCATTCGTTTAGTTTGCTTTCTATCTATTTATTTCTATCTATCTATTTTTGACATTTTTTCGTTTATAAATTACATCCAATTAATTATTAAACACATATCTCTGATTAAATTAGAATAATAAATTTATTAGTCGTTCCTGTTCTCATGTCCTGAATTCCCAACTATATTAAAAATGCTAATCAAGACATTCATTCGTGGTGGCTACAAACAGGACCATTTCACACCCATTCGTAATTTCTGGGAAAAAGTACAATGTAGAATGAAAAATATGAATATGATATGCTTACATTTCGCACGTCTCCACCGTTATTCTCTGGCTCTTTAAACATATGTACACCCAGAGTCCAGCCAGACAAACAATGAACAATCAATAAGCGATATAAAACCGGAAACGTTGTCCTCCAGTCACCACAATCAACTATTTGGTTTAACACTCCTCATTCTCTCTGTGACATTTAAAAAAATGTGTCACTTGTCAGCAACATGAACTGCACATTATCTTCTGTAACGACGATTTGTTAAAAAGAAGAAGAGGATGTTGTGCTGAAGATGCCAAATCGAAGAGAGCAATAGACGCACACACACTGCTTGAACGGCAACTTGCAGGCAACTGAATGTGGCTTAAAAGATTCCCTCGCCCAAATTCAATTCCGTCTGCACCACTCTCTCAACTCGACCAGCAGAGCATCTCAAAACGCACGACTCCTGCTTCAAATGTATGTTATGGGATATAATATGTATATCCCTACCACTGAGGATGGATAAGTTAAGTAGGATAACCATCAAGAGTTATCATCGTCTTGCTTATCTTCATGTGAATACATGACGAAATTTTGACCACGATTTTTATTCGTACTGATGTCCTCAATTCCACTAATGTTTAATAGTTCGAGGATCATTATTTTTTTATTAACGAATTACATTAAAAAAATAACTCTTAAATTGGGAAATATTTAGCTATTTTCTACTCAGTTCTCATAATTTAGAGGTTTTCTGGGTTTGAGAATAGGTTGCATACCTTCATAGCGGCGCAGTCTGACAGGAATTGAGAGAAAGTGCTTTCTCCTCGGTTTGATGGCGGTGGTGGCACCATTTCTCCACCTCGGAGAGAGAAAGAGACAGCATAGTTGCAACCATAGGTTTCAACTGCATGATATACTTGCATGAATCCAGAAATTGTGAAAACCATACATGTTCCAACACAAAATTATTTATTCAATGTACAAGTTTATGTAATTATCATACAACGAGACGTTTATAATAGCCTATTATAAAATCATCCGAATTATTAAAGAAACAACAAAGGCAAATCCTTGGTCAAGATTAACATTGGGAGATATGATAAATTAAATTATCATTACTTTCACCATTTTAAATTTGTTCTAGGTCAAAAACATAATGAATTTAGTGGTCCATGAATTATTGGGTAATTTAGCCAGCTTCGTAAAAAATAATTAAGGTATGTAATTGTAAACATTGAGTTTATGTAGGATATTTTTGCTTAAGCATTCTAATTAACAATGAATTGTGTACAATTTGAGCATGAATGTGTAACAAATACTTAAATGTATATATATTTACAACCATAGCACAGGTAGCACCTTAAAACATCATTTCTTCTCCTCCAATTCTAACAATATTTTCAGATATGTACAAATTTGCTACAATGTGGCACACAAGGATAAAGGTAGAGGTACAGGGAATTTAAAGAACATTTAAATTATTAAAAATTTAAATTATTTCCAGCCATGCATTTCTTTGCACGTGTAAATGTATGCGTACCGATAACTAAACGACACGTTGCTTGAAGCGTACTACATATACACACATATGTATCGGAACTAGCAGCAAAAGACATAATGCATTCTTGTAAATAGAATCAAATTCATTTTTTTCGTGTGTTATAATTATTATTATTATTATGTATTTATGGCTTCGAATCTACTTTGTATTTAAATATGTAATTAGCGAATGATGATTGACTGTTATTGGTCCGTTGTATACCACAGGTTGATTTTTGTCCAACCCAGTCTATTTATCAACATATATTTAGAATGGAAAAAATTATGTATACCACTCGAAATGCTAGAAATCATTCATACGTTGTGATAAGTTTTACAGCTTTTACACATTCATTCGCAGAAATACAGTATGGCACTAAATAAAACTATAACCTATAGCACTTCTTAGTGAATATACTAGGTAGATACATTTCCCGTACAAATATTTTAATGGGTTACGTCACCGTAGTATAAGACATACTCAAATTTGTAGAATCATGGTTTGATTGATTATCGTTTGGTACGCATACAGGAAACATTGAGAGATACATTCATACGTATAAAATTTTCGAAACTTCCGAGCGAGTCTTCAAAAATAATAGTGTTTCTTTTTTAATGCTTACACACTTTTAAGTGCATAAAGTACAACAGTAATGAATGTAAATAATAAACCTAACCACAGTGGTTCAACCACCCCTACTCGTATTTCAAACATAAAAATAATGATAAAGTAGCATTAGTTTTATGCTCTGCGGTGATTACATATTGACATTTTCATGATCATACAAGTCAAAAGAAGATCTAAAATAATAATAATATATTTACAAAGACAAATTGGAACGAGTTCTGAGTTCTGTTTTTCTTTCAAGCCGAAAACATAAGTCTTTGGAGTTTCTTCAGATGACATTCTGTAACATGTATATAATTTTGTAATTCCAGTAAAATATGAATTGCATAAATAGATATTATACATAATTTCTTATTTGTGGATGTGTTACCATTAGCAGAGCATCAGTCATCATCTATCTTTATCCTATGCTTGGCAATGTACGACTCATTTTTTCTTTAAAGCACCACTGAAAAATGGTGTAAGTATATCAATTGGTATCGGAAAGATTATCGTAGAGTTCTTCTCAGCACTGATCGTGTTTAACGTCTGAAGATATCGGAGCTAGAAACAAGAACATCAAAACAAATTTAATGACAGTCTTTGAATCAAACTTTGTTTGTTCATTTTCAGTCTTTTATAAAATAGCTTTCATATCCCTTAAAGTAAGATGACTTTCCATCTCTCAAGGAAAATTAATAAATACAGAATAACGTGGTGAAAGTTGTTGTGTTCGATTTTCATGTCATGCTAATAGCATGATGCTATCCTCATTATCCAAAGAAATGAAAAGACTTTGCAATAAATTTCGAGTTACCTGAAGAGCAGCAGGACCTAAAAAAAGTTTTAATTGATTGACATAAAAATATAGTCAGAATAATTTATTTTAATTATAGTTTATTTGAAGTTTACTCACTTTCCACCATGACATCACTGGCCTCTGTTTTTATTTTCATTCGAAAGAGAGTAAATCAATTGATTAAATAGCTTTACTAAATAGATAAGTAATAATGAAATGATAATTTGAAACCTTTAAGAGCTCGAGATGCTTTCATTTCTCCCTCAGCCGCGATCACTTTGGCTCTAGCTTCACGGGCGGCTTCCGCCTATGAGTAGAAAAAGCATAATAGTATGAAACCCTCTCAGGTCATGACTAGAATTAAATGTAAGTAATTACCTCGGCGGCCATAGCTCTTTGTAATTGCACGGGTAGCCTTTCGACAAAGTATTAAGGACAAGGTAAGTAAACATCAGGTAGGTATATTTTATTGACAATAGACAAAATTAAGTTCTTACCTGACGTCCTTACTGTAAAAATTTAAGAAAACATGTTTAATAAATAGATGTTTTTATTTAGTGAATGCATAAAACTTCATACATCCTTTCTGTAACACGTTAAAAGACTTTTATCACAAAGGATGTTTAAGACTAACATCTTTTCTGTGAAGGCCAAGGAAATGACGATAATCTTAGAAACTTAATTGTGTTATCTGTCCCCATTTCACCCCAGTCTCTAATCTCATTGACTCATTAACGATTCATTACACTTTCTCCTGAACTTTCCCCTTTCCTTCGAAACCACAAAAACATTTATTTATACGACTTTGCTACTCCCTATAGCTTATGCAACACGAGGCTATGGACGAAAGGGAACAGATTTACAGACAGGTTTAGTAATTGAATTATTTTCTCGTTAATATTGCTCCTAAAATATTTTTTTACAAAAGGTTACAAAATTTTGTTGGGAACATTCACTATTTTTCTTTTTACTGTACATGAAATCCCTGCTCGGGGGTAGATATGCATGAATACATATTTATATAATTGTACAGTTGTGTAATTCTAACTCTCATAGATTTTTAAACGGTTTTCATAGTTTTAAATGGATTACTTACATTTCCACGCGTTCAACCTTGACTCCCCACGGATCTATAAGTTATTATTGCATGCATATATATTAAATAAGTACATACATTTAATTTCATAAACGGCGAAGAAAAATATTATTCCTAACCTGTTGCCTAATGACGCCCAGCAGTCAATGAAATTTAAGTAAATGGATTTAGCAAAAGTATCTATCACTGTAATTCTACATACAGTTTGGCAGATAAATACGCACCTCATCCAAGGCGGCTTGCATCGTATGGGAGATGGATTCCCTTTCTGACAAAATTTCTGCTAGATTTTTGGTTCCGAGGACATTTCGCAGAGTTGTTGCTGCCAGGAGTCGGGTGGAGTGGCTTTATTAAAAGTTTCAATTAACGTTAAAAATAGCGCATTTTCCGCAACTTAATAATAGGATAAGAGTTGCAGAATATATTTATTTTGATGTATGGCTTGTGAATTTCTAATCGTTTAAATTTCATAATCTACAAATGAAATGAGAAAGTGCTTGAGCAATAAAGGTCAAAAAGACCTGTCAATAGACCATTCATAGTAAATGGCTACCTGCTTATGGCTATTGACTAGTTTCGTATTAATCTGAATCAGAAATATTTATTTAGTATAGTTAATTTTCTGTCGGTCACACACAAAACAATTTTTCAGTGCAGCTCGAGACAAGTTGTGTTATAGCTGTTAGGATTGTTTAAAGGGACAACAGTACAATATCAAAGAGATAACTTGGATTTCGGAAAGACAAGACACTTCTTTTAGTCACAAGGACGACTCTGTTAGAACATTAAGATTAGTTGACAAATAAATCATACGTACGAATAGTCCACAACGTTAGATACTGCAACTGTAGGGTTGTAGACCCGATAATACACAACTAAAATTCGATAAAATCGTTAAAATGCTGTAATAATGATGCCAATTTTATGGAAAACTATGTTCATCTTAATCTTACCAGCGTCCACCGCAACAGTGACTATTGAAAGTATTAGTCTTATTATTAGTAAATTAAATGCATTTTATGAATTATTAGTAGTGAATAAAATTATTATTTCTAACCTGAGTCATGGGTCAGGATCTGGAATTACAACAAATTCATCTCACACCATTCAAGGCTCAATTGATCAAAAATGATTGAGTTGTTCAGTTATTAATTGATTAAGAAAACAGTATGTAAGCGATATTATTAACAATACTTAAGGAATAGGGCAAAAGAGTCGAGCTGCGTGCAGGGAAGAAACCAAAAATGTGCAATATACTCGGCTGCAAAATTAAAAGACATGACATTTACGCAATTTTGAATGCAATGTCTAGTCATCCGCTTGAATTACTAAAAAAATCGTTAAAAACTTAAATCCAACCCATGCACTGGCGTTTTATTTTTAAAACTGCGAGGACAGGTTAGAATAAGATTAGGTTATACATAATATGTACATATGTAATATGTATCAAATAATTTAAAGTAGCAGTACTCTAAACAAAGAAGTATACCATACTGAAACTTTACTCAACTACAAAAATTACACTAGAAAAATTTGCATATCGACAGAAACATGCACTAGAATTTTCAGTGCAATCAGCAACAAATACTGAGAAGTTGTAAAAAAAATCGAATGTACCTATTTTTGACAAGATTTATTAACGGGATGTTCCTAACTAGTATTTTGAGATTTTTTTGGTATTTCAGTAAATAGTATTAGAGATTGAGTATGATATTGTACTCGTGTAAGTGCATAGCCTGTTAATACCATTGAATAAAATCATCACCTATTAAGTATCTCACCTGTAATCCTCAACGTTAGAAATTGCCATGATAGGATTATTTACGCGATAATAAGAAACTGTAATAATGATGCAAATTTCATAATAAAACTGGATTAATCATATATACCATTGTAATGATGATAAAAATTTCACGAAAAACTGGATTAATCGTACTTGCATCAACTGAAACAGTGACAGAATCTCTAGACAGAACCTACATCATGGAAAGATTACGATACGATTTAAAATAATCAATTCATTCAAAGAATCTAAAGTTGATAATATTTTATGGATGGTTAAGGTAACCTGGATTAGTTGTCGCATTGAAATCAATAAACTATACACAATACAAATCCAAATTTATTTCATGCGTTTCATCCAAACCAAGGTGTACATGTATCAACTAGGAACTAAGAACTCACAACTAATTGTAAGTACTACATACATATTCGAATAATGGGAAAGTGAGGCGGTTTTAAAACAATGCAGATAAGTTTATCATTCCGGTCGGTCGTCTAGCATTTAAAAGGGTCGATAAAAATGGCAGCAAACTTGATTAAAAAAAACTGTCTTAATGCATTCACTGGTTTATTGCTAATATACCTGAGTACCATTTAATAGATAATACCTGGCCATGGGGATAACAATATCCCCAGTCATTCCATCTGCCCAGGCTCTACATGACGCAAAGGTAAATTCACAAAGAAAACATGTTCATTCTATTGCATGTACATATTTATTAAAAGAGAATCAAGGATGATGAGTGTCTTCCAGTTCTTGTATGTAATAGGATTCAGGTAAATAGCATGCAGTCCATTCATGACAGTCGCTTAATCTTAAAGGAATAATAATTTTACCATGATTGCATGATGCATTATTATCTATATTGATATTTACTGTCCACTTTAGAGCTGGCATTTGCCTTGGGATATGAAATCCACACTTAATTAATCGATCGATATTTATGTACACAAGATTTACAGTAGTGGACCACAGCTCAGTATAAATATTTAACAAGCGTATTTGCGACACGCGAAGGTAATATGCAGGAATAATTAAGTATAAAGGAAATAATGTGGTGACGATAATCAACGTTCAACTATTGCCGAAACCAAAGGTATACTTAAATTATAACACTATTCATACATATGTGCATAAATACATGTGTGCTTTAATTTAGCTAGTGAATCAAGAGTATTCCACATAACGTGATGACAAGCAAACATTAAAATATTTTAATGAATATATGTATATATTATTGATTGAATAGACGACTTGAATACATGCCCGACTTGACTACAGTAGAATTTTAAACTTGTGTAGATAGATATTCATGTTTAGAATAGTTTGAAGAGCGTACATTTCAACAAATTGGAAATCAATGTAGTTTATATTTCTCTGCAATACTTCAGAGTCCATAAGTTTGCACTGACGTGGTGATGATTTTAATGAGAGTTGTCTAGATTATTCTGATAATTTTGACACGTTCATATATGATTGTTCTCAAAATTTGATTGCCAAAGCAGGGCTGCAAGTATTATTAATGAGACAATAGCCCTTCATCAAAGCCTACATTGAACCAAATATGTATGCATGAGCACTATGCATAAGGTTGAATGAAAGTCATTTGCCCCATTCTTCACCCCTCTTGAGAAATAAAAGGAAAATAACTTGAAAATCCGATCCTTGTGCGTTTCATGAACAATTCTTCAAATAGAACAAGTCATGCAAAATTCAAGTCATCACTCAGTCAACACTCTTGGGATGTTCTCCCCTGTTTATGTTTGGTTGTCAACTTTGCATCCGCAGCATGATGGTATGGATAGTTATACAAAAACAGTTTGCAAGGGAAGCAATCAACAACAACCACCAATGATTTACAGTTGTTTGCAACTCTGAACGTATTAACTGAACCAACAAAACAAGTCAGAGAGGGTTGGCCAAGCAGGAAGTTGACAAATACAAACTCGATAACGAAAAAGAAACAAAAAAAGCTAAGCTCTAGAGAAAACAGGCGCAAGAAAGGTGAGGCAGGAAAGAAGAGTATGATGAAAGATTTAAGTTACAACTTATCTATTTAAACACGTAAAATACCCACTTCTTGGGGTGGAACATCGAACGAGACCGTACGAAGATCAACGCAACGATAGGCGTCAATACACGGCAAGATAAAAAATATTCCTAGAGGAAGATTTTTTTATAGATAACACACGTCCTCATTTGTTCACAATAAAAAATGGTGGAAAAATATATATTTGTATATTATGTATATTTTTCTTACCAGGTCCTCTTGCACCTCCGCGACGCAATCGCCCCAACCTTTTGAAACATTAAATAAAATATTTTAATTGAAAGCTTGGTCGAGACTAGAGGAAATTTGTAAAATCTACATAAATTGGTAGGTGATTTGAGCTTACAACTGCTAAAATACAGTTAAACATTGCAACTTACCGAAAAATTACAGCTCGCTCATATTCTTGCACCACCTGAAAATGACAAATACAACAGATCCATCAACTTTTTTCAATCCATCAACTTTTCAAAGTGTATGTTAGTACATTTATACTGGTAGACGGTGGGAGAAAGTAAAGTTATTTCGGGCTTCCTTGCACTTTTAATCGAGTTTCCAACTTTGCCATAAAATTGAATTTCATTCTAATGCATAGGAATCATCCTCGTAAGTGGACAACTTTGTGTGTGAGAGATGAGGGCTAGCGGTGAAATGGCAAAGAGCAGGAACATTCTGCTTCTAGGGGTCGGATATCAACAATGGACTTTCACTTAGGTAGGAAGCAGGCTTGATGGTGCTGAGTTTGCACAGTAACAGTTTGCCTACTCGTAGATACATCCACTCACGCTTGTACATACCTATTCGTTCCATCTACTTTTATCTCACCCATCTTGCCTAAAGCGTGTCTCCACCCAAACCAACAATCACACGAGGGAATATGCACATATAGATGTGTGTATGCAGTAGAAAGCAAAAATCCTCTATTGTTTGTTACACATTGTACATGCATACAATTGTCATGTGACTAATGATTTGAGTCGATCTAAACAACTATGACCATCCAGAGCTTATTATTGATTCTAATTGTAGTAGGCAAAATTCTATATATCAGTGTTTACGTGTACAGCATGAAGGAAAGTTGATGGGAAATTGATATCCCAAGCTTATTTTCACACGTCACGTAATGGTATGTGAAGTGCAAATACATCAGTGAAGTTGAACAGGATGATGTAGTATCTGTCAAAAATGTGGGAGCAGTGAATCGCAGTTTCATTTATTTACTCACCTTAAAGCAGAAGAAGATTGCGAGTGGAAAGGTAACGACGAGGAGAAGGATCGAGGCGAATGTTGCCACCACTTCAATAAAACCTGATCCCTCTGGCTCCGCTGAAACAGATCGAACAAAAACCGTGAGTTAGTTCACTCGACAAATTTCAGAATTACGTTTATTTGAATGGGTGCATAACCTTAATTTGTTCGCTAATTATGTAATTAGTAGCCACAAATGGTGAAAGTTATTATATGTAACACTCTGTTGCCCTATGACGGTGGGAAAACCTACCATTCTTGTCTTCATGCTCCCTGTATTGTCAGAAGGCTTTCTCTACAATAGAGCTAAATATAATGGGCAATAGGAAAGTTTGAGACAATGTCGAAAAGTTTTAAAAGGTGAAACAGTTTCAATACCATGACATTAATACATAATAAGTAAGTAAGTGCTGGGGCTTTCCACTGAATCGTACTATTTTAACCTTGGAATGGGAGAAACTGCTGGAATTAATTAAAGGAATGCCCGCTTTACTGCGGGTGAGCGATGTTGGCTGATGCATATTAAACTTTTCTCAGAATGAAAATTGCTCCGAAAATGAGTGCGAGAAATTGCGTTCCTCTGCTGAAGCTCATCCTTCTTTTGAAGATCAGCGTTAAATAAAGAATTCTCCACGTTTTGCTTACAATCGTTATAAGGATTTAAGGTAATCCGTTGCTGACGTTAAAAGACTTGGATCAAATTTATGGGTGACAAATCTTAACCTGTGTCATTTTGAACTTTTTTTTGCTGAAATGGATTTTGAACTTGACAAGTTTCAAACATTTCAACTTTCTCCTATCTACCCATACATAAATACATTCGAGTATACCGACATGCGTCACAAATTGTAAGAATGAATAAAATATTCACGAAAATCAAAAGCCTCAGATTTCATAAATCCTCCAATGTCCGCTTTCTGAATTTGAACTGGAACTGGAACAGAAGGCTTTTGTTGCTGCTGCCTGCAGGTTGGACAAATCACGGCTTCTACTTCCATTACTACGGCTATTGTGTCACGTCACAATTTCACATAAAGAGGGATTTTAGTACCGAGTAAGGGTGTACGTACGTAGGTACAGACATATACATATGTATATGGATACTATTGAACGAATAAACAGATTTTTTTCTACATGTCTGTGTATGAAGAAATAGAATAACGATTTATGGTGACAAATACGCGTTCAATAAACCGATATATTTTGCGAATTTATCCACACATTTAGAGATAATACTTCACTAATACTTCACTGCGAATAGTCGGTACGTAACGTTTGTTTCTCATTCTCACCACAGATACAACTGAGCTCCACATTTCCGGAACTACGTCTCACCGAATATCCCATGATTTGAAAGAACTTGAAATGTAGTGGTTCTACAACTTGCAAGTATATCTTCTTAATGACTCCCTCATATGACACTGCACAATTCTGTGAATGTGAACATTATGTTTTACTCGGTTTTAAGAGATTTTCATCAGATCAGATAACAATTCTTACCGACGAGGAGAGAATGGGGAGACAATGCCAGAATAACTATGTATATGTGTATGTATATACTTGCTCTATTATATGTACATCCGTAAATACATATATCGTTAAGAGTTCAAAGTATATGCACTTCAAAAATCACTCCTTTTTACACCCTCATAGACGAGAGAATGCAGAAATTGGTTCTTAAAGGGCGGATTTCTTTAATCTCGTTCGATTGGCATGCTGCTTCAAGAAGTGAGCTGCATAAAACTGATACTGATGCAACTTAAATCAGCGGAGGTTTGGTAATGAGACATCTTATGATTCTCCCATTGATATAGGGCAAAGGCGAACTCTGTGCCGCAAAAGCAATAAACGGAACAAACTCCAGAGGATGAGGACAAGAATAATGACATCGTTTCCAAGTTCATTAAATATAGCCAGCGAGTTGTTGCGTTAATTCTATTCTGAGGAAGAACTTGAAAGACAAAGATTTATTGTGAGACAATAATATAAAACATTCAGCCAGACTTGACACAGCCCGAGCAGAGCAGTAATTTTCTTTGCCTCTTTCTTACTTTCAAAAACCAGGGAGCTTCACCCTCTTTGGGTCCATCAGTATTTTACAATCACGTGGAAATTTTCGTGTATCATTTTCCTCATATGTTCAACGTACAAAGTGTTATAGTACTCATCATAATTGAATTATGGAATTGAGTTTTGACATCACTAGGGCCGATCCTCCCTTTTCCAACTCGAATGATATTTTGGCCTACTCAAAATGCGTACAATATCTCAAGTCGATTAGATAAAGCGACGGACCGACGGAGATCGCCATTAAATAAGCCCTGGTTCGGGCGAAAAAATGTGAGGTGGGGCTAAAGGAGAACCGAGAAGATTTGGAGCATAATGATGAAGTAATAGTTCTGGCTTAATAGTGTACTTATTCAACCGAGAAACCATATGTCTTTGTAATAATACCACCCATATGGACCAGCTTAACTACATCCCAGGCAAAGCCCTTCCATTCTTTCTATTATAGCAGCACTAACGATAGCAAGTCAAACCAATCCACCGATTCCGGATCTCATCTCTCTCTCGGTCTCCTCCTTCTTCTCGATGTAATCACAGCAGGAACGAAAGAAGCTTGAGACGAAGGGATAGACTGGCGAAATAAAGTGAGATGTGTCAACCAACACAGAGTGAGTACAATTCAAACTACATCTCCGCGTCACTGCAGATTCAGAGCAGATTGGATAAAAAAGTAAACCAAGCCACGTTTCACTCTTCTTGCGGTGAGGTTGTTGGAACAGACATCGTGCGAACAGGAATTTCCTTATAAAATGTGTGTACGTATATTTACAATGGATTTACGATTTCTTGCTTTTCACTCGTATTTTACGAACCACGTTTTGCACAATAGAATTTTCACATACTTTCTTACTCAAGCTATCCATGCCTGCCACGAAGGGTTATGAGAGTGACCTTTTCGAAACTAAATTACTTTGCGTCGAACACGGCAGTTCAGTTTTTAATGGATATTCGATTTTACCATAAAGTTGTGTGGATGCAGTAAGTATGTATGGCTTACTGCCACCATGAGACACGCTAGATAGAGACATTAGATATTGCTGGGAAGTACCAATGGAGTTACTTATGGAACACTATCAGAAGTTCTAGATAAAATTATTCGAAAAATTTGTGACACACGACGAAAGAGGTCGAAATTTAAATAGTCAACCCATCCATAACACAATTTGTCAAGGATATATAAAAATTGGATGTCACCAACAGCAGGAATTTGACATAGTACATTTTAGTTGATCTCACCTTGTGGCATGCAATTTGCAACAGAAAGTTTTTATGACCCAAGTAAAAAAAAAGATTCGACTTTCAATCAAGATCAAGAAATCCGCACATATTTTATACATTCTTGCAAGAAATCCAGGCTAAGTATGTGTGGTAAAGTGCGCGGGCGTATCGTCAATCAACAGCAGAATTGAATATCAATCCTAGTCGACTTTAATTTTGAACCTGATCAATCAAAAACTTTCTTGGCACAAGATAAGAAAAAGTCAATAAAGTATCATTACGAGTGAATGACATCTTTTGCTTTCTTCATGCAATTTTAGACTGTTTCCCTCCTGATTGGATTATCTCATCAATTTAAGCTTGTTCTGTTCCAGTTTGCTGAACCAAAATGAACAACCAGAGCTAAGATTCAGTTGGACCAGCATCATTGTAAGCATAGCTGAAGTCCTGACACTTGACAGTCTTTTGGTTGGCTTCCTTTCCTTCTGAGCTGTTGGGATTCTATGTTCATTTAGTTTATAACAAATTTAATTAACCGTGACTGCTCGGGTTACTTTTTTGTCGCCCTAGACCAGACCAGAAGAGGGTTGCAAAATTATTCCTGGCATATCGACATAGGTACAAGTAAACTAAATTCCGAGTAAAAAATATTTTAAAGAATTCTTAATCTCTTATGCCGCCGACGTGTTGTTGATATTATTTTTTAGTGCTAATTTTCTGTAAACTAAACTCAACAACGAAATATCTACTAACATTATTTCGTTTGGAAGACTGCCACATGTTGTGATAAAGGACGGAAAGAACACAAGGCACGATTTAAGCATGAAAAAGTATTTTATCTCATGCTCATTTCGTCATTAATTAAACGCCTTCTTACGTAATATGTAACATTTAGACAAAAAATGCAATTATCATGTCGTCTTCCTTTTGATACCATGGGAGAAAGTTTGCATAAAATTTTATGTCTATTCAAATTCCAACCATATGAAAATCTCTTCTTACATTTTTTGTAGCTCATAAATCTTACTCACGACATCAATATGCTTTTTCATTCAAAAGAACATTTGGAATATTATGTTAGTAATATTCGTAATATTTGAATAGTTAAATTAATTTGATATCGGAAACATCAATAATAAAAACAATTATCCTCACAACAAACCTGTGCATGAGACGCGAATTTGGATACCTACCTGGTGCAAAAATAGAACAAATGATTTGCAACCAAAAAGCTAAAACTGACAGCTAACAACGGAGTGTACAAAATTCCATGTTCCTACAAGTTCCACTACATAGGAGAAGCCTGCAGAGATATCAAAGAAAGCATAAAAGATATATGAGAAACATAGCTGAAAAATCCGCAATAGAAAAACACATCAAAGAGTGTCAAAGTCATCAGATCCAATTTGACTCAGCAAGTCTTGTGTGTTCCGATATTTTCATCAAAAATTTATGGAAGGACTGCTCATTCAGAAAAGTAAATCCACTCAACAGGGATACAGCCATGAATATCAATCTTATATGGACAGAATTTATGCTATCGTGAATACTTTTAAAAAGAGCGCCGATCCTATTTTTAATTTTAATTTTCCTGTACTTTCTTGATGAAGAGAACAGTTATTTCTTGGAAGCTTGAGCAAAATAAAACTACGTTAAAAATGTTATTCTTGAACTCAATAATAATGCCCTCTTCATGGTAAATCATGAGACACAAAGCAAACTTTCTCTCTACATAGTTTATACCTACGTACGTAAAATTACTGTTAGGAGAAAGCATACCTATGTAGATATGTATATCCACAATTCGCGTTATGAGATTAGGTCAGGTGATCAAATGAAAGTCCAGAAATGCTACCCACTTTCCCAGTTTATCAAGTTACAAACCTGAAGCTAAAACAATACTAAATCTGAACAAAATGGACGAATCAATTATTTATCAAAGTAATCATCTTGTGCTTCTCATAAACATGTAATGTAGGTATGTGTTACTTAGTTAATTAACAAAAGTTCTGCATCACTTTTTATAGGAGAACTTGGCGAATCGATTAATAGATAAATCAGTTGTTCGCCAGATGATGCTATTATTATACTCACGAACATGTATGTTTGAAACATGCAGGCTCCCGATCTCCAACTCTCATACACAAATGACGTTGATTATCGGTAACATTCAAAGTCGATATTGTGCATGTGACGTTAAGTCAACAATAAATTAACATGTGGACCACACCCAACCGGTCTCTTTTGGCTCTGTGATAATGATGTTAAGTGGTTTGGGATCCATCACCTTTAATTACACTAAAAACATGGCCTAACAAAGTAAGCAGTTTGGTGTATTGGAGTATGTACAATGCATGGATGCATACTTTTCCTGGCTGTTTAATATCGTTTTCGAATGAGATGGTCACGACCTTATTTTACAGCCACGCTGAAACGTACATGAGATAGATAGGGAGAGAATATGTACGTACGGACAATGATAATGACGCTTACAGATTGTCCTAGTACACGACACGTTAATATAATACACGAATGTAACATGACAGCAATTTTCATTTTAATTTAACATTAATAATCAAATCAATTAAGCAGCTATAAAATATGGGAACCTTTTCTACAAGTTGGTGGGTGATTTTCTACAATTTACGAATTTGGTACTCCGGTTTCTATCCTCAACCAATTTCTTGAGCAGAGAAGTGTCAAAGTAATCGTAACCTAATTGCATTACAGAACTCATTAGCCTCTGGCTCTTGTTGTGGGCGCATCTCTCTCAACAGAGCGCTTTCACTAAATTCTCAATTCGAGTCATTTGAACATCAAAGAAAAGGAAAGATCATTAAGAACAATGGGCTCGGAACGAAGCATGCGAGTATACCAGATATAATTATTTTCTTTTCCTTGCTGGTGGTTGGGTAGTCTGCAGCTCGGTAAGAAATTAAATGAAAACAAGAAGACGAACATAATCTGAAGGGTTCTGAATAAGTCCATGTTCATCGTCTCATCTATGGAAGGAAGGGTATGCGTATCTCCTCTTGTTGCCACAATTAGAGTGCCTAATAGTAAACACGAGAGATAAAACGGTCGATCTATGCAGATTTGGCTGTTGCTAACTCATCAGGGGTTAATGAATCAGAAACACATTTTGTGAACATCAAGAGATAAGACGTTGTAACTATCTGTTTGAAGAAGAATTGCGGTATGCATTTTTTTCTGTGATGTCTGCTTGGCAGAATGAGGACAAAGATTAGATAAGATCTCACCCAACATACAACTTCAGTTTAACAACGAAAGCAGTCAAACTATGAAAAACAGCCTCAAAGAATTCAAATTATAAATAGTAAATTGTGAAGATAGTCACAATAGTTATGTACGTAGATTTGTACTCAATAATGTTATCTATTTTGTGTTCAACATAGTAAATAACCGCAAAACCACAGACTAACCAACACACAAATATATTTATCACGTAATTAGTCACTCCCAAACCCTATTACCATCTCAATTATATATCCATCTATTTATGCTCTATGATAAAATGATGATGCGTCCTTGTTTGAATATACTGCAATGTGAAGAGTTATCCCAACTTTCATAATATTATGACTGAGAGTTGGCATATTATGCATACATGACATGATATGAGCTGGTTAGCACGACTGGTTAAATAGCATGGCCAGTGCATACCAACTTCAAGGACATTTAAAGAATTTTACTTTCCTATGGAATTATGGGTTTGCAATGCATATTCAGTTTTTCTCACGACCATTGGTTTATCTTTCCAGTCACCAGGTAAATAAATGCAGAGTTCAAACAAGATTTGATTCCTTTACAAATACATAACCACAAACAGATTTAAATTTAACTGGCATATGTGGCCTGAGAGTTTGTGGCCATTTGTGTCGGCTGAAGATGAGCTAAATATCGTTAAGCCTGGTGGCAGTCTGATGAATAAACGTGCTTATTGTGTGTCGCTTACAGCTGGCCGTTCCCGACGTGTACATGGCGTCCCGACTATGGCTGACTGCCAGCGGCCTCGCGGCGTCCTCTCCCCTTTTGGGGACGCTCTTGTCCAACACCACCACCTTCGGCTTAGGCGGTGGGGCCGCAGCCGTCGTTAAGAGCAAAGTCTCCACCGCCTTAGCGGAAGTTCCTGGAGAACTTTCGGCAGAACCATTTTCACCAGGCTTATCCATCCCCCACGAACTTTGTACTTGAGACTGTGTGAAGTGTCTCTAAACTCTTGTTTACCAATAGTCCCACGTAGCACAAGAAAATATAGAAAATTGGTGCTCGAATAAAATGTTAAATTCTGTTATGAAGTATCCGCACACACCAGCTAAATTATAATACGAGTTAAATTTAAATCCGTTCACATCCTTTAATCCACACAGATTAACGAGCAATCAACGACTAATGTCACAACAAAAAGTAAACAACACATGCACCTCTCTTATTGCGCCTCTTCTTTTATTGTAATTTTAATTTTGCATGACACACTGTCTAGTTTGATTTTAGGCCCTAAACTAAAGAGAGCACACCTTGATTTGATCTGTTTTGTGCGACGTTATTCTATTGCCTATCCAGAGCAAATTAAAATCGTCCACAAACAATCGTTTAATCAGGGGAATGATTCACGTACTTAATACGCACATAAAAACACTGCAGCCAGTTGTAAAGGTTCTGCCACAGGTTCTGCCCACTTTATTCACTTTATTCCAGTTGGAAATGAGATGGTGTCTCTTACTACAACAAGTAAGTAGCAAATAGCGTACCGTGTATAAATAAATAATTGCTCCAGCATCCCAGTATCTACATAATGCTTTTCGTTCCTTGTGCGTTAAAGGTTGTTGTTGGATTTTGTTAGTTAAATAAATCTCCTCATTAGAATTTATAAACAGCCCGTTTCTCTCGTGTCATGCAAATATTTATGCTTCAGACTCGGTCCATTGCCACTAGAGTACATTGTGTTTAAACCTCACCTCATTTACATAGATATGCTACCAATTACTCCAATAGATAGTTTAATCATGCCAAATGGAAGCGCTAAAGTTGCACCCAAATGGCTAATTAAATGGAAATGAATTAGAAGCAGAGACACAGGCCTCGCAGTGATGGCATTCAATTACTATCGCTGATAAGTAAGATAGTGAAAGTAATGAATGAAAGTTCTCAATCGTGTTGCAACGGTGTGGGAGCAGAAATGGTATCTTGATGGGAGCTTGAAGCAGCACGAGTCAATTTTGTACAATGGATGCTGAATAGTTGATGGCAATTGCTTTCCCCGCAGCTTTCCCTTCCTCTTCTGCACTACTCACTCCTGCCTGACTCCACTCAAAAGCTGCTGCTAAAAACTTTTAGGTCACTCTATACCCACGTCGGAGAAATTTCTGGTTACACAATGGCTCACCAAATCGTTGATGCTTATGGAGCTTTTATTTTGAATCTGATAAAACTATCCACTTTCCAACACCAATAGGATATGTGTGTAGCGGTCTGCTGGCTACCACCAAAATTTAAGAAACTGCATACTTACTTATTTCACTATAGGTAAATATGACAAAGGAAATCTTATCCAAAGAAAACATAAGTTTTGACTCACCATCTTCCGTGGCATCATATCCAGTTACTGAGCGTCTTTGAGCAGTTGGTGGTGGTGGGCCGAGATTAGCCCCCCCTGTCTTCGGACCTCCTCCTGCAGGAAGTTCCGTCATCTCCGCCATGGGGAATGGGACGTCGGGACGAGGAGCACCTAAGAAATCCATTACAATTTCCCTAATTTTATGACTATTTTAAACTCTGGGACGAAATAACTCTCAACAACGAAGGAGAAAGTGAGATCTCTCAAACTTAACAAAGTCTCTGTTCCAGAGCTTTCTTCAGTCTGTCAACTTCCTTTTCTATATATTGGCCATGCACATATAGGAACTGTGCACAGGTATACTCTTGGAATACACGGTAACTTTCACATTTCACGTCCAAGACGCTTGTACAAGTACTTGTAAGTGTTTGATGGAAGACAATATTCAAAGAGATGGAGATCTTGAATGGTTCAAACTATTTCATTTGTGTAATGTAAACGTGGAATTGTTTATTTATTTTAGCTGGATGTTTATATAGCATCTGCTCACCACCGTCAACCGTATGTGTAAAGGCATCTCAAAAAAGCTCTAAACTCTTCCTCAGTCTACAATATTTATAGTTAGACGAAGGAAACTGCAAAAATGTAGTTGGGACCGACCCATGGAAAATTCATAATTCACATGACGTAATCTAACTATTTCGCATTTCAGAATCATATATAACTGGAATCTTCACAATCTTTACGCATTCATACCGGAAGCACTGCGTGAATTGTAAACACTTTGAAAGATTATTATTCCTCCTACGTTTTCATTGATACAAAGGAAAACTAAATTGAGTCAAAATAATTCGATTACAATTATATTAGATACTGCGAGGGTTAGGTGATTAATCACATGCTTATAAATAGATGTATATATGTATGCTGTCTACGTTCGAGGAGCGGAAATTGTGGGAAACTTTCACGGGGAGAGAGTGGTGACAGGCAGGTCAATTGTTGAATTCCTGAGAGAGTCGACTTCTCTCAAGAAGTTTCAGAAATCCTGTGGTGAGAGCCGTAAATTTTCCCCGTCTGGAAATAAGTTTGGAGCGGAGGAAAGTGGACACAAAATTGTTGTCTTCTTTTTTATTCGCAGAGTGCTACCTCGGCCGCTCGCTCCCCTCAAAATGCACAACTGCCCGGGTCAGCCCTTTAGCCAGTCCGTCCGGTAAATGATTTGCGACAGTTCAGTTGTTGCTCAACTTCAACTCTCGCAGTTATCAATTTAGAAATTCGGTATTCCCCTAAACGATTCGCAGTATCGATCCGGCTCAGCAGTAAATACGTGGTCCACCTCCATTATCTGCGAACCACCAAGTAGTAGAATCTGCTCCTGGACTTCGCTTTGGTTTACTTTGGTGTTTAGTCATTCATAACCAATTTAATCCTCGTAATCCAATAATGAAGGCCGTCAACAATATTCCTTTTGTGTGGCCACCTTTGTCATTTGTGGAAGTTGTCGAAAGCAAGGCAACTAAATTAACCCCCAAATCCATGATGAAATTGGTCGACACGTAAACTAACGGTGTCAAGAATGTCAAATTGTGGTTAATAATTTTCCCCTTTCCAAATAACTATTTTCACTAATCATTTTAATTGTCGATTTGCGTTGTGGAAAATGCACAACATCCAAGGAAAGAAAATTAAGCAAGTTCCAGAACTGTTTCTGTTGTATTTCTTCTACATATTTGCATACTCTTTCATGATTTGAAGGCTACACATATATATATAGCTATACATACCTTATAATTCATTACGGACCACGGGTAATCCAAACTTCTTATTACGTATGCATGTATGAATATGCCAGGAATGACGATTAGTGAAGATTTACTGAATTTATACCAAGCTAATTATTAGAAATTGCAAAATCAATTATTAATTACTAAAGATAAATATCATTAACAAACAAAAACAACATAAACCTCATCTGAATTAATAATCGTCTCCATAAATGTTTGGAAAATATTTCCATAAGAGAAAGTAGAGTGGAAAGTTCTCGCTATGGAGGAGACCTTTATCACGTTATTCATAAAATCACAAAGGTGTAATTTATTGTTACGCATCAGGAAAGCCACAAAGACTTAACATGCCAGTCCCAGAACGACAAAGTATTTCAAAGACTTTACGTTTGTATACATGGTTGGATGGAGCAGGGTAATTGAACAGCACATGATGCACAGGTAAATTTGAGAATATCTGGTGGAACCATATTATACTTAACAAAAACTCTGTTCGGAGAGATATCAAAGTTTGTATTATTATTTTTTTTAAATGTCCATCCTTCAGTCCTAATAGACTCATCCTGTGCCATAATGCATCTCGAAATACATATGTTAAGCAGTGTCTAATTTTCGCAGCTTGCAGTACATATTTTATTTATTTGTCGGCAATCACAAAATTCAGCATCAGTGCACTTGAATGAGCTGAGTAGTGCACGAATAATAAAGTAGTCACAATCGGATATATGTAAATGTGTATCCAGCGAGAAAATATTCTGATATATAAACTTGGGATTTTTAGTTTCGTATGTTACGTTATGTTGCATGGTACGCATTACGAGGTAATTTTGGAAGGAAGGAGAGAAAGCGTTTTCTTTTCGCTAGCATCTGTCCGTCTGCCATGTAGACTTTGTTCGCTCTATTTGTTATTCAATCAATCGGCTCTGGCAAGAAGTTTGGCAGCATGATATTAAGTCTTCGTGGTTTCAGTGGATAGCAAACAAATTATTTCCTCCTCCGTCCCTTCCAACTTACGTCTTATTCTCACGAAGAGCTTGATAATAAATTGTCCAAATTTGACATAGCTTCACTGTGTCTGATGCTTCCTTTTCTGTGGTCTATCTAACTGTTTTTAGCCCGAGTCAGGGCTTATGGAACCGTCATGTCCGTCCGTCCGTCTGTCTGTCTGTCTGTCCGGCACGATAGAAGGAAACGAGTTCGAAGATGGGCGAAATCGGTCCAGTGGTTGGCCGGTGGGGGTCATCGGAGTGGGTGGGGTATTACGGACCAAAATTTCAAAATTGTGGTAGAAAGCTGAAATTTGGTACAGAGGTGGTTTCTAATGGCTCCTAATAGAAAAAAATAACTTCAGGGTGGAAAAATTTTCATCTTGAGAGACCCTAGGCGGTGACCCAAACCGATTTTTCAAAATCGTCATAACAAGCTGAAATTTGGTAGACAGGTTGCTAATGGGTCTTAATGAAAGAATATGATATCATATTGGTAAAATTTTTATCTGGAGCGACCCTGTGGGGTGACCCATACCGATTTTTAGAAATTGCTTTAAAAAGATGAAATCCGGCACAATGATACTTAATGGCTTCTAATTAAAGAATATGAAGTTAAAAGTGAGCAAAGTGCAACAAGAGTGACCCTATGGAGTGACCCATACTGATTTTTCAAAATCGTTAAATCGAGCTGAAATTTGATATGGAGGCTGAAAACCACTGCTGCATAGCACATATGTACATACAGCTTAGAACTTCAGGATCCTAAAGAATCCCACTGGTCATTTGTTTGTAACTAATTCAAAAATTTGGTACCAAATAATAGAAACTAATAGACTTTTAACCATCCACAACACGGCAGTTGGTGATATTATGTCGGACAATTCGTAAAAAATTAGAAGCGGGCTCTGGCTTATTGAGTCAGGGACTATGTCCCTGACTCGGGCTATATGGAGTCTGCACTGTAGGTTTTTTATACGTGTTTACTTCAAGCTTGCACTTTGGATAAGTACGGAAATGGTTGGCTATTTATCTTTCCTTGTGCATTATACCTGCACACATACCGTTCGCACACATGTATGCATACATACATACGTACATATTTTTGCATGTTTTGCTTGTATATTGTGGTACTTGTTTGTTGCAAAACCATGTGCCGTACTCTAAATAGCATTCAAAAGTGGGCTGAAAGGTTTGTTGAGAAATATTCATACTGTAGAATTTACTGCACACAACAAAAATAGAGAAGAAACTAATAATTACGTATCGTATATATACATATTATCTCGATCAATTGTTAAAACGACCAATTGTTTAGTATTTAGAAGTGTTACACTACACTACAGTCTTGCTTTATAAATCAATAATTCAGCAGTTTCTGACAAACGGGGTACATGCACATACATTCATACGTATGTAGAGCCATATCAGTCTGACAAAAGTTTGCGTAAGAGGCGTTTAATAAATAATACGAGCGTTACAAGATCAATCATTTTACTGGAAACTTTCCTTGGTTTGTTGGAGTCCCAGTTTACAAAACAGAGAACTTGAGTGAGGTTCTCAAATGTTTCGACAGTTAGCATACATAAATACAATCAGAATCCTATACCGCAGTTACTTTCGACCTTTCGAAAGCAGGAGTTTCACGTTCAACCACATTCCAGCCAAAATAGAACGTGTCGTGATCACTGCAATAAGATCAAAGTATTTAGTTTTGTTCCTGTGGATTCCATCCATTTGCCTTTGACACGAGCTCCCAAGTGCACCATCAAAAGGAATTTTCCCCACGAACACCTTTGCCGACTTTCTCCAACTATCTACGCAGACCTATTTATATCGGGCTCGTTCATCTCCATCACCCAGCCTCCTATATCTTAAATAAGAGGAGTGGTATGCAGGACTTGTGGAAGAAATGTCTGCGTGAAAGGAATTTTGCGTGAAGCAGAAAGTTGTACAGCCTCATCTACTTTCTTTTTTGGAGAAAATTTATCTAAAAGGCGCAAATACCCTTTAGTCGGATAGTAACGCTACGTAGTGATGAAAATTCTTAAATGATTTTAAAATTGTCCTTATAAGAGGATTCAGCAGACGAAAGCGAAAATACGCCAGTTTTTTTGAGCATGTCTGTTTTATAAATACATAGCACAGTTTTATGTAGCTAGGAAAGGACTGGCAACGTAATTTAATAATACAGTTTCACAATAGATGCGATGAAAATGATTCATGATGGGATTGGAAAAAAACGTCCGACTTACTTGAAAGAAAACTTTTAGGAAATCTTTCAGATAAGAAAAGCAGCAAACAATGAAAAGTTGGTGTTTGGTTAGTTGATCATGGCACAAAGCTACGCACCTACTACAAAGTGTGTAGAGGCAGCAACAGCATATTTGAATAGTCCAAA